GGTTAGTATCTGGATGGGAGACCACCAAGGAAGTCTAGGGTTGACGTGCAGAGGTAGGCAATGGAAAAACCACTTCTGCATGTCTCTTGCCTTGAAAACCCTCTGGGGTCTCCATAAATCGGCTACGGCTTGGCGGCCCTTCCCGTCACCACCGGGGACGCTAATCCTGCAGCGAAGACCAGGGAACCTGGCCCCCATCTCCCTGCGACCACTCGTCGGCCTTGTTTCTTGTGCACATAAGGAGGGTGCTGCTGGGTCAAACTAAAGAGGTACCAACTGGTTTTCCCGTTGCAGCTCTTGGAAAGCCCACCCGTGAGGGCACGGGTCAAAGACTTCCTTGGCTTTGAGATGTGCAAGGCCCCTGAACATGGGCTCCTGGTCAGGCTGCAGCTGAAAGAGCCCTCCTCCAGCCCTTCCTCAAGGCAGAGCTCCCCCTGCCCACGTACTCTCCTCCTGCAGTGTTGTTCTCCTCTAACTCTTCAGCTAGTCTCTGAGTTTCTCCGAATGAAAGAGGATCGGGTAGCTCAGGGACAGGTAAGGCTGTTCTACCGAGTCCCGTGCTGATACATCCAACCTTTTCCTTGGTCCTCAGGCACCTGAAGGATGTGATCCTGCTCACAGCCATAGTCCAAGTTCTCAGCTGTCTTTCTCCCTACATGTGGTACTTCTGGCTCTTGGTAAGTCTTGCTGTTTCGCTTCCTGCCGTCGTCGTCATCCCCCCGCACACATTTGCTTTTCCTTCCTGTCTGTATCACTTGTTGCCTTTGCTGAGCTGTCTGAGAAGAGTCATGCAGTGTTTTATTCGATGTTGTGGACAACCACAACTGATATTACGTTGTTCTGTTCGTGCAAGAGGGTAAAGGGGGGGGGGGATTGTGGGAGCGGCTACTGGGCGGTTTGCCACCTCTTACGTTGTTCTGTTCGTGCAAGAGGGTAAAGGGGGGGGGGATTGTGGGAGAGGCTTCTGGGCAGTTTGCCATCTCCACGAGGGCCACATGCCTGCTGTAGAGTTCCACCGGCATCTGACAAAGAAGAGAGTAGCCTATGGAAGCTCCTGCTCTGTAGGTGAAAAAAAACACACTTGGCTTAATGGCGCAATTGGATTTTCTTAATATTATTTCATGAAGGCTAAGATGCTGTGTTGGAATAGATTGTCATTTGCCCTCCAGATCTTTGTAGAAGTCGCAGAGAATGTTGAATACCCCTCCCCCCCCAATGCTGGGTTGGATCCAGCACAAGAACAGTGAGAGGATCATAGATCTTCCCTGCTTTCCCCACCCCTCAGCAGCCATTTCAGACTCCTGGGAAAGTTTGTTCTGGGGTTGCGAGACCCAGATGTTGTAATAGCTTCACTCATTCAAGAGGCAAGAGTGGGTGATTTCCCCTCCTCCCTCTGCTGTCTCCCAACCCATTTGGCTGTGGTGGTTTCCACACAGGGACAGATTTGTTTATTCCCAGGGTCACAGGACTGTATCTGCAACTACAGTTCTCTGAGTTCCCAGTTTTCATTCAAAAAGAGTCTCTATCCCATTTTGTTCCAGTGATAAACTTTTCCAAAAGAAAAGGGACTAGAGACTTACTTTTTTAAAGAATGAAACCTGAAAATGCAGGCAACTTGGTAAATATTTTTGTGTAATGGTATATTGATATAGCACTGTTAAATCATCAGTTTTAAAACAAGAAAAAGAAAAATCCTGGGCAGTAGGGAGAGGAAATAGGTACTGTGGGGGAAATGGCTCCTGTGTGACTGGGATTGGGCAGCTATCCAGGTTTTGCTGTGATCTTTCCCAAAACTTTAGAGCAATGTGGGTTTGAGAAGGAGTGGAGAAAAGCTGGGGAGATCCCAGGAAATGCATGAATGCACCACAGTACTGTGGAGAAGCGGGGGAGGGGGAGACATACTTCACAATAGGATCAGAGCAGCTAACCTATGTAGAAATCCCCTGTTATTCCATGCAGGTCCCACGATTCCTTGGGCTGTAAATGGCGGGGGAGGGGGAGCTGGGAAGACCGACAATCCTCTGTGGCTTCCACCGACAGATCACTTGGCTCTATCCAACTGTCCTATAGAGACCTAAGACTGAATAACTTTCCAAAATGAGTACCAATGTTGAGTCTGAGAGCTGAATTCTCTATTACCAAGCGACAAATTTGCCAGGAGACCTTCAAGTTTTGAGATTGGAATAAAATACAAATCAGTGGGTGAAACTCAGCAAACTTTTGTTTTCTCTTTTAGCCAGTGCTTTAACTGTACCTTTTGGTAACATGTTGCCACCAGTGTTCCCTCTAAGCTGAGTTAGTGTGAGCCAGCTCACAGTTTTTTAGCCTCCCGCTCACACATTTTTGTCTTAGCTCAGGAAGGATGGCTCCAGAGCAAACTGATTCATGCAGTAGCCAAGTTGCTCGCTCACAACTTTAATGCCAGTAGCTCACAAAGTTGAATTTTTGCTCACAAAATGCCACAGCTTAGAGGTAGCATTGGTTGCAACATCCTCGGCTGGTCAATAATTTTCCATGTGCATTTGTTTGTTTTTTTCCAGGCTCCCGGACGGGCACTTTACCTTCTCTGGGTTAACATCCTGGGGCCTTGGTTCACCACAGACTCCTCCGCCACCAACCCAGAGCCCAATGAGAAGAAACAGCGCCGGCAAGAACGGCGGCAGATGAAGCGTTTCTAGCAGAGCTCCTGGGAGTAGATCTAGAATGCCACCCACCGTCTCTGAGTGGCTGTTCATCAGGGATGCAGATTTTTTTTTAACCAATCAGAAAACATCAGGGGCTGCTTCTCTCTCTCATTCCCCCCTCCCCTTTGGCAATGGCGTGTCACTTGAAGGCTACAGCGATGGTTCTGGACGACTTTAGGAGGGTCACCAGGCAGATACCTTGGCCTTCATCTGCCCCACGGCACAGGGCGGGAACCTTTTGTGGGAGCCGGAAGTGTGTAAATAATCTTCTAAAAGTGACGCTGAAATAACGCATCAGAAGATGGAAGCGTTGCAAGGCTTGAAGAAATGGTATATTAAAAGAAATGCTTTCAATCTATATGGTAACTCATACGGCTGGTATTGGTGTCATCCTGTCCCAATCGGCAACCTGTTCATTTGCCAGATCGCTCTGGGCAGGGTTGATTAAGCCAAAACACAAAGCAAACAATAAACTTAAACAGTGAAAACAATCATTAGATGCAGAGGTCACTGAAGGACAAAGCCATTAAAATAACCAAAATGAAGGTGGCTGCAGGGATAGCAAGAGGCTTTCCTTTCCTTTTTTGTTTCCTTTTTTTGCATTTTGTGTGTGTGTGTTTGCGTGTACCCATGCCTGGAAGTCATGGCGACCTCTGGCAAGTTGGCAACTCCTACTGGGGCATGGAGGATGTTCAGAGAAGTGGCTTGATAACTTGTCTCTGCCTCCCAGCCCTGGTATTCCTTGGAGGTCTCCCATCCAAGTACTTGCCAGACTCGGCCCTGCTGAGCTTCCGAGATCTGACGAGATCGGGCTTGCCTGGGCTGTTCCAGGTCAGGGCAGGAGACTATTCTTTTTATCCCAGACTTGCCATTGAAGGTCCAAGTCATAAAATAAAAATAGAACGAGTTGGTTCCTACCAACTTTCCCACTCACAAAAAACGGAAGGAGAGGTGCCCTTTGACCAGTAAAAAGGCTATGCTGGAGACTGTGGGACTGTCAGGGACAAAGGCCACTTGAGAGTGGGGGCTACGGGACGGAGGGGAACTGGTTGGATACCACCCAGTAAAATGTTAAAAATGTCTGAAATCCAGTTTGTAGAAAACAGCAACATAATAATAAAAAGACTATATTGAAAGCAGCAACCAAAAATGAAAAGAACAATGCAACAATAAATGCCAGTAATTTAACTACCATGTAAATGCTAATAATTAATATGTGAGTATTAGCATCATTGTAATAACCTAAGTAAGGAGCTGCGGTGGCTCAAGTGGTTAAGACGCTGAACTGCAGGCTGTGGAAGGTCAGTAGTTCAGCAGTTCAAGACCCAAGCTGCCACATGACGGAGTGAGCTCCCATCTCTAGTTCCAGCTCCTGCCAACCTAGCAGTTCGAAAGCAAGAAATTGCAAGTAGATAAATAGGTACCACTTCGGTGGGAAGGTAACAGCGTTCCGTGCGCCTTGGTGTTTAGTCATGCCGGCCACATGACCACGGAAACGTCTTCAGACAGCGCTGGCTCTTCGGCTTTGAAACGGATATGAGCACCGCAACCCTAGAGTTGGATTCGACTGGCTTTCGAGCAAGGGAACCTTTACCTTTTTTAATAAGTAAGTGCACAACAGCTATACAGCTGCGTCCAGGGTAAAAGACTGGGGAGCTAGCCGAAAGAGAGCCAGTGTGACGTAGTGGTTAGAGTGTTGGACTAGGATCTGGGAGACCCGGGTTCAGATCCCCGCTCTGCCATGCTCCCTGGTCCCATTGTTCCCATCAGTGCTTCTGGTCCCTAGCCTTAACTCCTAGCCTTAAAACGATTTCTTGGGGGTAATTGTAAGCCCCTGAGTCAAGGGTCCCCAACTTTTCTGAGCCTGTGGTGCCTTTGGAATTCTGGCATAGTGTGGTGAGAGCAGCTACAAAATGGCTGCTGCGGGAGGGGGACCCAGCCACAAAATGGCTGCCTTCGCTCACACAGTGAAGATCCTTGTTCTACGGTAGCGGCTGCCGCCAAAGCAATGGCTGAAGAAAATTGCACAGCCAATCAAATCTCCAGTGGTCAATCGGAAGCTTTACTAGGCAAAAGCTGCATCTGGCCCTGCCCAGATTGGGGGCCACTGCCTTAAGTGCTCCCTTTGGTAGCACTTTGGTTCAAGGTGAAGGAAATGGCAGATGGACAAAGGCGGCGGCTCAGTCACAAGGAGGTAGTCATGCAGATTTGGCTGGGTGCTTAAGTGAAACCACACCCTGTAGTCGTAACAGGAAATGACATGATGGACAGGACAAAAGCCTCCCGGCATTGCTGAATGACTACTGCAGCACCGACTCTCACTCTTGGAACAGGCAGGTGAGAGTTCTCCGCATGCCTGCTTGAAGCAAAGTCAAAGTTGCATCTGTCGGGGTACCATTTTGGGAATGTTGGTTGGTTGAGAGAGAAGCTGAAGAAATCCAAACTCTGTTCTAGCCATGATGCCGTGGTGAGAGAAGGCTCAAACAATCCCCGCTGAGGAAACGGTGCTGATGGGTGGGGAGAAAAGGCCCCGGTGCTTCCAGACGGGAGTGGAGATCTGGTCTTGACAATACTTTCCTGTTAGGTGTAGCTACAGGCCCAGCGGCCAAGGAAAAGCAGAGGAGGACGGAAGAGAAGAAAGACGCTCCAAGCATCTGGTCCTTATTTCTTGTCTGTCCCACCAACAAGATCAGCCAGCATCTGAATTCCTTTCTTCTGATAACTTTCTCCTTTCCCAAGAAAAACAATCCTTTTTTTTTTTAGTTTAAACTGTAGATGGGGGCTGGTATTGTGATGGCTTGCTAGGGTGTAGTCTCACGCAGATTCCCCGTTGTGAAAAGCCAGAAAGGGCGGGGCGTCTTAGTTGTTTTTAAAATATTTTGTACATTAGAATTCTCCCAGTCCTTTGGATTTCTTCCAGGAGTCCTATTTAGAGATCTGTTAGTGTTTGCCGGGCTGCCAGTTTCCATCAGTGCTTCACATGTTCTGGGTGGTACGTAACTGCAGCCGGTTTGTCCCTTAAGAGCCTGGAATAAAGCAGGAAGAGAAAAGCAAGACGGCTTTCCTCATTGGCACCTTTTGATGGCAACTGTATGCAGACGTCCAAGTTTCACAGAGCTGGTCTTCAGGCTGCCATGACAAGGCTGCATACGTTAACGTTCCCCAAAACTGGACCCAGTCATAGAAGCTTCTGAGTAAATGTAAGTACAGCATTCAGAAAAATACTGAGAAAACAGTAAGATTTTAAGAGCTGGAGGAAATGGATCTCTAGTCAACTTTTTTTTAATGCATCAAAAAAATTTTTTGCTGCCGATTCACAGCTTATGGCAACCCTGTAGGGGTTCCAGTTCAAGAGAGGCTCAGAGGTGCTTTGTCGTTGCCTGCCTCTGCATTGCAACCCTGGACTTCCTTGGTGGTCTCCCATCCAAATACTAATCAGGACTGACCCTGCTTAAGCTTCTGAGATCAGATGAGTTCCAGCTAGCCTGGGCCATCAGGACGATGCATCAAATACCATATGCTTAAACATTTTAGTTTCTGTCCCTATTTGATGCATGCTCTGCATCTTCCCCTTTTACAACAAACTCGATATCTTGTGTATCCTCTGTTAGTAGTGGGTGGATATGGCTCCTATTTCTACAGCCATTAGATACCCCATCAATGACGCAGCAGAGATCGGTTTCTAGGAACAGCAGTGCCCTTTCAATTTAAATTTAATCAGGCTGGCTGTAATAACAGGGAACAGACTCTCTGCACACGTTCTGTGTCTGCTGCACGTCCACATGGTTGAGTGCTGCGCTATTGCACTGTAGCGATAATTCACAACTGGATTGCCCACTGCAGATGAGCCAAGCCAGTGGTTACACTTGCTAACTCCAGCTTGAGAGATTCAAGAGTGATGTTTGGGGAGGGCAGAACTTACTGGGGATGTTTCATAGAGCCCACCTTCTGAGCTGCCGTTTCCTGGCCGTTTTGGTTGTTCGGATCGTAGAATCATGGGAGTTGGAAGGGATCTCTAAGGTCATCTAGTCCACCCCCCTGCACAATGCAGGAAATTCAGAAATATGTGTGTGTGTGTCCCCCACCTGCTCCATTCCCAGAAGATGACAAAAAAAATTCAGGATCCCCAGCCAAACTGGCCTAGAGTTGTGGCTTTCTCCCTGGGGCTTTATTTTGGAGGGCTCCCTCTAAGCTGTGGAGTCTTGTGAGCAAAAATTCTACTTTTTGAGCTACTGGCATTAAAATTGTGAGCGAGCGGACTACTGCCTAGATTATTTGCCTCTGGAACCATCCTTCCTGAGCTAAGACAGAAATGTGTGAGCCGGGGGCTGAAAAACTGTGAGCTAGCTCGCACTAACTCAGCCTAGAGGGAATGATCAGCCCTGTAGCTAGGGATTTTGGGGTGAGGGGGCCTTGGGGGGTACAACTAATTAAATCAAAGCTAATAACATTAATTCAATTTGGGGCCAGCCCGGAAAGGAGGGGACCTGGAAGAAATGCTAGGGGGCTGGGCCCCCTGGGCCCCACATTAGCTACCGGCCTGGGAACGATGCTTTGGACCTCTGCTGGCTTCTGCATCTTGCATCTCTAAATAGCTCTGTGATTTCTAAATGCACCTGAGCATAACCTCCCACTGCGAAAGAGGGATTTACCGGGGGGGGGGATTTTTTTGGAACATTGTGAAGCGGCGAGGGGAATTCGAGAGATCTAGCGGCTGCCCGTCTCCTGGCGCCGAGAGCTGTAGTAACCCCGCCTGCCGTCAGGGGGCGGACTGGTGCGGGCATCGCTGAACAGAGCGGGGAGGAGGAGGAGAAAGAGGCGGGGCTTGTATGGAATGTGGGCGGAGTCTGCCGGGCGGCTCGGCCTGTCGCCATGGAGACGGGCCCCCGCGGCCTGAGCTGCCTGGAGCCTGGTCCGGTCGGGCCCCATCGTGAAGCGCCGGCCCTGCGGTGCCCTCCCGTTCCCGGGCATGAGGCCGGTGCGTGGCCGCTCGGAACTGCCGCTGACCTGGGGGGATGGTGAGGAGAGGCACTTGGGGCAGCGCGGAGGGGGGCTTCATGCAGTTGGAGGGGGAGGGCTTTCCTTTGGCTGCTGCTTATGGGAGTGGGGCGCCCTATGGGTCTCCGTGGAGGTGTGTGGAGATGGCGGTGGGCCGCCGTGGATCTGTGCCCTCTGGCTTTCTCAGAGGGGATGGGGATGGGGGGGGTGCCATTTAAGAAAATGGAGGGAGGGGAGAGGGCTTCTCTGCTTATTTCTGGAGTTCGAATACTTTAAAATATGTATATGCCTGTTTCTCTCGACCCAAGGAGAGGTAACCGCACAAAATATAACTTGTGGTATTTCGATAAGCTTCTCTGCGTCCTGACTGGGGAGAAAAGCACGGGAAAATATGCCTTAGATCTACTAAACTGCTTGTTTATTCATAGTCCGACTTTCTCAATGAGACCTAATGTAGATCGCAACCTTAAACAATGCAATAGGAACGGTTTATGATGCTGAGAAATGGGATGGCTGAGCAGGTAGCGGTGTGATGCAGGGGACCGGATGCTGAAGTCCATGTCAATCACATATGGTATGTAAGAACATAAGTAGATCCTACTGGATCAGGCCAATGGTCCATTTAGTCCTGTATACTGTTTCTCACGCAGTGGCCAACCAATTGCTCCGGAGGGCCAAACAAACAAGGCACAGAGGCCAAGGACCACCCCTGCTGTTGCTTCCTAACTTAAGACTGGGTTTCAGAGGTTTACTGCCTCAGTGTATGGAGGATATCCAGCCCTTCTAAGGAGCTCAAGGGCCAAAAGGCTTCTATGGACCTCTGAACTGATCCAGTGAGGCAGTTCTTATACAGTTTCTCATCCTTCCCATGCTAGAATTTTCAGAGCTCCCATTGCAATGCTTTTCTGCCACTGGTTGGCAATGGGATGATTTCTTTATTTGGAATGAATGCTTCCCCACAGCATTTAATATAACACTGAACGTCCATGGCTATTCTGCAGTGCGTATCCTTTCCCCAAAGTCTAAAGTGCTTTCCTGTCACCAGGAAAACTTCACTGTTGAACTCCCTTGTCTTAGCAGCAGATAAGCACAGGTGGATTTTTCCATGCATTTTGCAATATATGAGGACCTGGAGAAGAAATGGCCCAGTTTTTTGTCATCTCCCCCCACCCTTGAATGTGCTAAGAAAGGTTTTATTCTAACCAATTTCAGACAGCTTCACCCAGTGCTGCTTGGCCTCTTCTGTGTCAACAAGGTCAATTTTAGGCAGGTTCACAGTGTTTTCCCCCTTTAAGTGATCTGTCGTTTGTGCTATTAACACACAAAGTTGCCTTACACTAATATTGGTCTACCAAGACAGTTTCAGGTGTATCTGACATTGTGGGCTTTAACTCACAAAAACTTATACCTTGGGAAAGTGTATTGATCTTTAAGGTACCATTGGACTTGAAGGTGGGTCTCTCAGGGTCAGTGTTAACCATCTGAATTAATCATGGTAATAAAGCTGGCTAGTGTGGAAGCAGCCTGCTTCTAAGGGCTGTTGATAGCAACCATCCTGCAAGACTGGTGATGTCACTGTGCTCTAGGAAACACATATTTGTGCATTCCTTTTGGCACTTGGACAGGAATCCTCAAGGGCACATAAAGCAGAGCACACAGTGCTTCTTTGCCTACTTCTGTATGTTTATTGTCATATAGATTTGTGTCCTTTGGGTTAGTCCCAATTAAAGGGGGAAAGGTGGGTGTTCAGTATGGCTGGACTGCGTAGTCTGTTGAGATCTGGGAATGTAACATTTCCATGACTTGTACTTTCATCCTTCTTGATTGGCTTTTTCCCAAATTCCGTTTTGAGGCTCTTTGTGATTTATATGACAATTGTGATTTATGAACTAACTGACACTAATTTCCTTCTACTAGTAGCTTTGTGGACAACTGTGGATGTCCCACACCTTTTTATAATGCTGTTTCTCTGGAAGGTGCCTCACTTGCCACTTCTCAACTCTCTCTTGGCTTGGTGCTCAAATCCAGTTGTCCGTTCTAGTTTCAAAGCTTTTGGGGGGATACAGAGGGGCTAAACATTAAATGAACACTAGCCAACTCTCTTTTATAGGGATGGTTCTAATTTAAGCAACAGATATTCGTTACAGGGTTTGTTTTATTTTTTAAGATTCCTATTTTCTTGTGCGCTTTTTATGCATAAGTGTCATCAAGGAGGTAAACTCTTGGGATGTACTACTTCAGATTGCAGGTTGGGGGTTTCAAGGAGAAGGCTTCTTGCTTGGTGTTTCCTTCACATATCCTAAGTTGTGTAGAGGAAACAAAAAGTCCAAATTGCCAGGGTGCCTACGTTTGGATGTCGGAGCAAATGTGGAGGATAGCGCGTTTCCTGCAACAAACTGTTCCATCATACCTGCCTTGAGTGGTAGAAACAAAACAAGTTAAAGATACTATTTTCCTTTCAGAAGCAACAAATTTAAATCTAAAGTAGATGGCGTTTGTATATTGAGGACTGTGGCACTTATTAAGCGTGTAATTCCATGCTTTTAAAGCCCCATGCTGTTTTTAGTATGATTTAATCCTTCTGATTTACTTTGACTTCTTTTTGTTTACACAGAAAAGGGCTGCAGGTCTCATGAGAACGTTCTAAGAGCTGCATGATTGACCTAAGGAGGCCTGCACGGTGAAGCTGAGGCAACCACCTTGAGGCTGGGGTAAGAGGAGGCAAGTGGAACTTTTCTGTTTGTCAAAGAGCCTCACGCTAGCAAGCAACCGGCCAGTATATTCCTGGAGAGAACTCACAGATGTAGACTGGGAATTGTGTTTGGAGGGCAGTGTGTTTAAAATTTTCGTTTATTATTTATTAGGGGTTTTGTTTTTGTGATCTGGGGCTTTTCCGTGTTATCATTTTCCTCACTCGTAAGTCCCTGTTTCTTTGGGGGGCAGGGGCGGGGTTTCCTGTTCCACGTATGTTTTGCTCCCTCTAGTGGTCAATTCGATATTACAGTGGTTTATGTCCAGCTAGGCCACTTCTTTAAGACGCTGAACTGCAGGCTGTGGAAGGTCGGTAGTTCAGCAGTTCAAGACCCGGGTGCCCCATGATGGAGTGAGCTCCTGTCTCTAGTTCCAGCTCCTGCCAACCTAGCAGTTCGAAAGCAAGAAATTGCAAGTAGATAAATAGGTACCGCTTCGGTGGGAAGGGAACAGCGTTCCGTGCGCCTTGGTATTTAGTCATGCCGGCCACATGACCACGGAAACATCTTCGGACAGCGCTGGCTCTTTGGCTTTGAAACGGAGATGAGCACCGCAACCCTAGAGTCGGACTCGACTGGCTTTCGAGCAAGGGAACCTTTACCTTAGGCCACTTCTGCACTGTCATCTTTGTCACTTGTTCGCCCCTGTTGCTTTAGGTCCCCCTCCCCAATATGTTTTGCTCTCTCTCGTAGTCCCAGAGGGAGCAAAATACATGTGGAAAAGAGGGGGAACCCAAAGCAATACTCTAGAGACAAATGAGTGACAAAAATGACAGTGCGGAAGTGGCCTATGTTTTTATGCCGGGCATAAACCGGTGTAATATAGAATCTACCACTAGAGAGAGGAAAACACACACAGAACAGACACACACACACACACCCTGCCCCCAAGAAACGGAAATTTACAAGCGAGGAAAATGAGACTGCAGAAAAGCTCTAAGTTAGAGGGAGGACTCATACAGATGAGACTGAGGTTATGAATCCCATTAAACAGCACAGTGCAGGCACGCGCAGCCTCAGTTTGCATTGGGGCTGTGTGGGAAAGAAGGAGGATGTTTTGCTATTTGTCACCCGGATCCTTGCCTTGTTAACACTTTAAAGGGAGAAAAACCTGTGTTTTTAATAACATGACTTTTTTCCAAACGCAAATAGCAGAGTCGGGAGTCTCAGACAGAGAGAGGGTGTGCGCGTTGAAGGATTAAACTGCCTCTTTCTTCCCGACATGACTTCAAGGTAAACTGAGCCTGCCTGTGGCTGAAATGTGCATTCGAAGAACAGAACAAGACTTACATTCTTTATCCGACCTGCTGGTGCCCAAAGCTAATGTGTACTCAAATGTAGAAACATAGAGCTGGAAGGGAACTGGCCTAAGGTCACCGTAAACTGCGTGCCGGAATGGGGATTTGAAGTCAGGTCTCACCAGTCCTAGTCCAGCACCCAAACCACCGCGCCGTACTGAGAGGCTTTTGTTTCTGGTGAAAGAGTCGACGTGAGAGCTCTTGCCTCACGTGGCCTTAAATCTTGTCTTCCAGGGGCTCTTTCTTTGCCAAGCGTCTTCACAGCTACTCTCCTTTTCAGGCAGTTTTCTTTTTCGGCTTGCTGTAGATGAACATCTGCAATAAACCGCCTAATAAGACAGCTCCAGAGAAGACAAGCGATGAAGCAGCTCCTGAGGCCCAGTCCCAGCATGCCCGGAGAAACGGCTGGAGCTGGCCGCCCCACCCGTTCCAGTTTGTTGCCTGGCTGCTCTACCTCTTCTTTGCCCTGGTCGGCTTCGGCATCCTCGTGCCGCTCCTGCCTGTTCACTGGGTTCCTGCTGGGTATATCGTATCCTTCCCGGCTGATGATGCAGTAGGCACGCCGCTGATGCCGCTGTCGTGTGAGTTAACGGTGAGACTGTTGCCATCGTTTAGGAATGGCGGGAAACGGTTGTTGGCCACTAAAGTCAGCAGTTGATCCTGTCCTATCCTTCATTGTCCTTGCTTCTCACCAGCTGGTTGGATTGTTGCATTTGAGAAGAAACTTTTAAGGCTTCGTCCTTAGGTGTTCCAGAAGGCAGAGCGACCAGATTCAACTCCAGTAGCGCCTAAGAGACCAAAAAGATTTTGGGGGTAGAAGCATTTGAGACTCAAAGTGAGCTTTAACTCTTGAAAGTTGTACCTCTAAAATCTTGTTGGTCTCTAAGGCGCTACTGGACTCATATACAGAAATATGGAGCTGGAAGGGAGCACAAAGGTCATCTAGTCCAACCCCCTGCACAATGCAGGACATTCACAGGTACTCCCCCCCATTCCCCCTGTGACTCCTGCTGTATGCCCAGAGGAAGGCAAAAAGCTTTCAGGATCCCTTGTTCTTAGGTGCGTTAATGCATTAGAAAGAGTAAAAAAATAAATAGATAGCACACTATGTGCGTCCGATGAAATGAGGTATGGTCCATGAAAATTCAGGATCCCTTGTTCTTAGGTGCGTTAACGCATTAGAAAGAGTAAAAAATAAATAGCACACTATGTGCGTCTGATGAAATGAGGTATGGTCCACGAAAGGTTTTTCTGGAATTAGCTTTGTTAGTCTTTAAGGTATCACTGCACTCTTGTGTCATTAAACATTTAATGGTTCTGGCCTCTTGTGAAAATGCTTCTAATTGATAGTTCTGTCCACATCCACCGTTAAGTTTTATTTTTTTCTTCTTGTTCTTGTGAACAATGGAATAAATAATGGTTTGACTCTTTAAAGCTGATCTTGTGTTCTCTTAAATGGAGCCTTGAAACACTGGAGTGAATACATCTGTGGAGACAGTCCTTAACATGTCCGTTTCAGTGTCCAGGAGTCTTTTTCCTCTGCCATCTAATAGTTCATCTTACAGTGGTTTCCATCGACCCAGCCGATGACAGCGTGCGTGAGAAGAATTACCGGGGGCCCCTCTCCACGTTCAATCGTAGCCAGCATGCTCATGTCATTGAGAACCGCCACTGTCACATCTGTGATGTGAGCGTGTAAGTACAAGTGAGCCTTGCCCTTCCTCATGAGTACATTGAGTTAATTACGTTGAGTTCTCTCGTGGACAGTGACCAAGGCGGGGAGCATTGAATGAAGGCTATAAGAGCCATGGTTGCTGAGAAAGGATACTTTCCCTTCCTTTGCGCTCACCTTGAGAAGATTTTTGTTCATTTATTTAAAATATTTATATCCTGCCTTATCTCCTAACAAAGTAACAACTAGCTGTAAAGACATCCATAACGTTCCATCAGCAAGATAAAAACAACACACGGGATAAAAACGCACATGACAAAAACAGTGAACAAAACAGATGAACAAATGATGCCGCCTTCTACTGAGTCAGACCTTTGGTCCGTCAGAGTCAGTATTGTCTACTCAGACTGGCAGCGGCTCTCCAGGAACTCAGGCTAGAGGTCCTTCACATCACCTGCTACCTGGTCCTTTCCACTGGAGATGCAGGGGATTGGATCTGGGGCCTTCTGCATGCCAAGCAGAGGCTCTACCACTGAGCCGCAGCCCCTCTTTAGCATACACAAGATTAAAAACACATCCAGATCCACAAAAACATTTTGTCCTCCATCAAATGCGCTCTGGATTAAAACCATCTTAGGTGCCTTCCTGAACGCAGCAAATGAAGGTGCCCTCCACACCCACCCTGGTAAGCCATTCCAAAGGACCACAGGAGATCCCATCACCTAAGTGTTGCCAGACGGACGATCCTAAGAGAGGAGACTTCAGCTGGGGGGGTTCTCTGAGCATTTATATTTATTACTATCCCTCAGTGTTCCAGGAGATTTAAGGTGCTCGTGTATGTCTCCCAGGCACGCACCGGCCAGCCCCAAACCTGCTTAGCTTCAGCAGGGGGCTGCACAATTTGCCTTCAGGCTGTGCTCTGGCGTATGAGCCTGAGTGCTGTGAGCATTCCTTTTTGCATCCTGGACCACTTTGAGTCAGTGTTTGCATATGGCCTGCTAGAGAGGGACCAGGATGATCAAGGGAGATGTGCTGGCACGGAGCCTGGCAATTAGCGGTAGGTAAGAGCCAGTTATGGGCTTGGGCCTCTCCTGTTCATTTCAGCAGAACTCGGGCTGTGGCCAGTTATACGGATTGGCTTAACTGGCTGGTAGCCCCTTGGAGAACGGGTGGGATAGATCCAACCATCCTCCAAGGAGCCTTCCTCTAATAGAAGAGGCAAGTCGGAGGGAAGTCTCCTTAGGCTAGAGGAAAGCTTCCAGCTTTGCTCAGTGAAGTGGGAGGGTAGAGACGGGATCCACACCCATTGGGCGCAACCAGTCTTGAGTCCAGCTGGGTGCGCTAATTCCCCACCCCCCAATGATATTTCATCATCCAGTGGAGCATCCTCGCGAGGGGGGAGGGATCGCTTTCAGATGGTTGGCTCTGCCCCGCCTGTTCTCACTCTCTGCATCCTTCCTTTCTTATTGTTAGGAGCTCCCGATCCAAGCACTGCGGGACCTGCAACAAGTGCGTGCGCGGATTCGATCACCACTGCATGTGGCTCAACAACTGTGTGGGGGAGAGGAACTACTGGTACGGGTCGCGCCTCTGGCAGCATTAATCTGTTGCAGTTAAACTACTGAAGGGCAGCTCAGCTTTCTCCAGAGCCCAAATATTCATCTCCTGCCCTTTTTGACAAAGATGCTGCAGGTTGAATGCAGTACAGAAGCATGCGGTCCTAGTTATGTGCTGTAGTAGCTGTGCGGTGCTCTGTGTTTTGGGGGTAGTTTTTCCTCTTGATCTACTGAGCCTGGTCAGCAGTGTGGCCCTGGAGAAGTCAGGTCAGGAGTGTAGCCGTGTGCCGTGTTGCATGTCGGCCCTTTTGCGAACAGTTCTTCTGCTTCCTTGGCAGGCTTTTTCTGAACAGTGTGATATCAGCCATTGTGGGCCTTCTCCTTTTCCTGCTCATCGCTTTCTACGTCTTTGTGGAGTTCTTCCTTAACCCCATGAAACTGCGCACCGACCAGCACTTTGAAGGTATCTCCCCACACTCTGCACATGGACTGTCTCATCATAGCAGGGGCTCTCTCAGGGAGCAACTCCATATACAAGTTATTTTAACAGTTGTACAGAATAAAACAGGACGATGATGGCACCTTAGAATCTGACAGGATTTATTCCAGCGTAAAGCTTTGAGCCAGAGTTTCATTAGCAATAATTTACGTTAGTCTCTATGATGCCACTGGGTTACTGTTTTATTTTGCTGCCATAGACTAACATGACTTACCTATCTGGGATTATTAACAATCGTACAGTATCCTTAGTAAGCTCAGGAGGGTCTTGATGTAACAGTTATCGTTGAAGGTTTCCCCTCAATCTTATTTTCCTTGATTGAAAGCTCCCGTTCCCCCCCCCCCCCCCCCCCCCGTGTTTTTTTTCCCCCCT